ATACGGTGATAAGGAGCATTATCCATCACTATTATGGATGGCTCTCGTAAATTAGGCACAAGTTTTTCAATAACCCACTTTTTAAAGTTGGTACTATTCATCTCATCATGATAATCACCACTTTTTGTGTTTGATTTAAACACAAGTAGTGCATTTGTAACAAATCCAGTATCTCCTCCCGCATGAACAATAATATATCTTTGCCCTTTCGATACAGGCTCCAATACTCCGTCTTCACCGTCTCCTTGCCAACATTTACCCGATGTATGCGAAGAGTGAATATAGGTCTCATCTAAATAAATTATGGGCCGGGGCTGGGGAGATTTATTATTTTTATCCACTGCATGCAAGTACTTAGCTCTCCAAGCTGATATTTCATTACGCTCCATAAGGACCTTTCGATTGGATTGAGATTTTTTAAAACGAAATCCCAACTTGTGAAGCAGCTTTCGCAGACTCTCTCGCTGTCCTGTGTAATTTATTTCTGTCTTTAAGACCTCTAGAAGCTTTTTAACAGTAGGGACCTCTTTTTTGGCAGAATAAAATTCATGTACTTTCCTCCGTATAACTCCCATGTTAAAATCATCAACTTGCACAAATCCACTTTTACGTTTTCTCTCCTTGCCTGGTGTCCAAATTTTTGGACCAGTTTCTTCTGCTGCATGCTCTTCCTTAACTATTTTTGAAATTAGTCCTTGACTCACACCTGAAATATAAGATAACAAAATAAATGTTAGTAGAAATTTGAAATCTGGCAGGTTAGTTGGCTCACTCACTTAGCGGGTTACCTAATAGATGTACGTTACCGTTACGCTAACCCGCAGCAAGAATAGAAACGAATATTTCGTGGACTTAAATAATTAGTTAAGTACCGGGTAATTTATAACAAGAAAGTTGACAACACTAACCTGTCGCTGCCGAAATTCGTTTGTATATTTGATTAAATGGAATAATCGGAGACCCCGCCCGAGCTTCTTCTTCAAAAAAGGTTTTAACCTTTAGAATAATGTTTCGAGCATCACTTTTAATAGCTTTCGGCATATTTAACTTTATAAATTCAGCAATATCACGACAAAACAACCAGAGAACCCGAATGTAGTAGACACTGACAATCGTATGACATTTCAACATGACGGCCGTAGTTCAAATTTTCGCCATTTCACAGATAAGTTGGTAGGACTATAGGATTGCTGTGGTGGTGTTCAAGTAACATTTATAAAGTGACAGATGTTATCTAGATTTACAATTGAAACTTTATTTTAATGTCAAGTAGCAGTGTAAGTCTCATAACAACGAGAAATTGAATTATAAGTAATAACGTCAGAAATTTATCATATTCTCAAACATCACATCGTTATTTTACATTACAGTTACAGTACATTCAATATTGCAAATAGTACATTTAATATACACTCACCTTTCCAGAATTCCACGATAGCTACGTATTGTAAATGGCTTGTTCTCACAATGACTTTTATGTTGGGATTTTTGGTGCAGAAGATGATGAAACACGTTTTCGTCTGTGCTATTCAACAGTTCGATTTGTTGTGGCACGACTTACTGTGGTTTATTTAAAAAAAAAATATCAATTTCTTTTCACATAACACAACGATCTAGTGGTATACGACTTAGCTATTATTGGAAGCTTGGATTTTTGTCACAATCGACAGCCAACACGACGTAATAATACATAATATTTTATATAAAATCTTAAAGTTTCAAAGGTTGACAAATAATCTTAAACTTGGTGATGAATTTACAATAAAAATAATAAACAATTTATTGACATAGCGTCGTAGCCATGTCAATAAATTGACAAGTGGAGACGTGTTTTTCCGAAACCGAAAAAATGACAAAATAATTATTTTAATTCTCCAAATATACTACATTTTAAAATGTCCCATACCTCATTTAAGATTTACTATGTGTTTATATAAGTATATTTTGTTTTAATTGTCAATAAATAGGTAGTTTAACCGAAAGTAATAAAAAGTTCACTACTTCATTAAGTTTTCGAACGTATAGTTCATTCAATAAGATGTTGAATTCGTTCTTAAGTGCTCATCCTTATTTACGTTAGGATGACGTCACTAACGTAATCGTATCGAGCTCTCGATACCTTAACGTTAGTCCTTCGTGCTACCGCCTATCGTAAAACTCCGTTAACGTATAGAGGACTCGATACGTTTACGATACGCATTCGAAAATTTTTCGTGCTCGAGGCACTGATCGGAGTATCAGAATATGAAGTTTACAGATTCGTTAAAACATAGGTGACACGCTGTATATCCACACACAGGTATATCGGTAGCTAAGGAAGTACGCGCGCATTTTAACAGTGAATGTGGAGAGCTACATCATAATTTATTAATTACTAACAGGAGACTAATATATGTTTACTTGATCTTGAGCCGCACGTAAAATCACACTGATGGCGTTCTCGGCACGATTGCACTAGTGACGTGCCAGGATAATTTATTGATTAGTAAATAAATAAGCAAAATATTCAATACGATGAAATTTTGATGACTATTTAGTTGACATTTATGTTAGTATATTTCTTTTATACTTTACAATTCCAACCCTCGTCTACGTAAAATCACGAATATGGCGACGCATGTACATCTTCATGAGGATGGGCTCGAGAGGCACGTAAAGATTCATAACAGTGTCGCCAGTTCAATGGTTTTTGTCCATAAAATACATTATTTTGTTTGTTGTTCCAAAATGCCTAACGTACCTAAACAAGTTTTCACTTCAAAACTATACTTCGCTGGCTCAGCGACCCAAAATGTGTATTGGCCTCCGACATTAAAGTGCGCCATTCTTCTCTATTTAGTGCCAGTTTAAAACCAATCGCCCGAGTCGCCCGAGATATGCTCTTTTGACGGCTCGATCCTCTACCATTCTGTCCATGTGGCCAAGCACGCGAAGTCGGCCAGCTTTTATTTCCCCGATTATGTTTGGCTCTGATACTATATCTCACAATTGTATCATTGTATCTTTGTCTCCGCTCTCCAATATGTCCTATTGTTGGTCCCAGAATCTTTCGTAACATCTTACGTTCGCCTATTAAGAGTTTCTCTTACTCCTTCATCGTTATTGTCCTAGTTTCGCATCCATATAAAACCGGCCTAATTAAGTACGGTTTTGTAGACGCAGATTTAAGTAGTTCTACTTATTAACATGCGAGATTAGTACTTTGTAAAGGGCTGCAGTACAATTGAGATTTATTATAATGTCTTTTCTCTTGGTTCTATGGTCCTTGTATCTCTTCATGTGAAGGAATTCAGTCTTTTCACGACTGATTCTGAGACCCACCCTTTTCCCTTATTCCGACTCAGATTGCCCTGGTATAGCCTATTATTTTGTACCTCCCATTCAAATTGAGCCCCCCCCCCCCCCTCCCTCCCCCTCCAATTTATCAATAAAACTTCGAATGTGTTTGAGTGCTATGTTGAATAAGATTCGGTGAAAACTGTCATAGGCCTTCGTGAACAAATGATAATTTTAAGTTTCAATTTTAAATGCTTAATTTTGCATTCTGAGTTCACCTGTATGTAGTTATACATAACTTGCATTGTAAAATTTAAATGTTTATATTTTAAGCACTATGCAATGACTGTTGGTGCTCCTTATTTAAAAAATAAAATAAGTCAAAAAACAAACAATGGACGCTTTGGGCAAACCCCAATCGCTTTTGCATTATTTGTTTTAGAAGAAACATTGGTCCACTGGTACTGCTTCCGCTGCGGAAGTCACACTGGTAGTCCCTGAGTATTTGCTCTATGTAAGGCAAAAACTAAGTGCAACAAATTTTTAAATGTGCGCAACAATAATAGAAGCTGGGCAACTAATTATCTATAACATTTAAATGTTAATTTACACTATTTGCACTAAAAACAAGAGAGGCTGCATGACGATGCATAGCGTTATCAAACAAATAAAATCAATTTGATGTTGTAGTATTTTTTTTATTTAAACTTAAAAAGATAGCAGTTCATCTAGTTTTTCCTTCAGTAAGTACGTGTTACGCTTAGGAGCATGCATTGTTCTTACAAAATGTAACCTAATAGGTCATCCGAAGTATACCGCCATGTTCTGGCTGGTCTTCTTGTATTGTGTAGAATACATAAAATAATTATATCAAGAGGAAAATAAATGTCTATCGTTTTTTTTTTAATGAAATATTGTAGGCATGTTGCATTCGACCTTTAATTATCCTACCTATGTCAACCTATGATAAATCACAACAGAAATAACTCAAATCTGTTTTAAATATTTAAAATTCCTTATAAAATCTAATATCTAAAACTAAAACTATCAGGCAGTACGTAATAGTTTTGATATCCGTATTGAGATATATGTTAATTAGTCAGTCAGTCAGTTTTTATTTCAAATTATTGTTTATTTTCAGAAGTTATTTCAGGAATCCAATTTCTCATTTGTTTTCTTGAAAATAATTATTTTAATACATAGCAGATTAATTCATTAGAAATTATGTTCATATGTGACAATAACTTGAATATTAAAACTCAACATTATTTAAGATAGTCTGTGATTGGGATAGATAGATCTGTAACGTTTTACCTAAGATTTCGATGTGATTAAATCAACGCGCATGACGTTTAAAAATATGTACATAGGTGGCAATAAATTGAATATTAAAACTTAACATTAGGAATCAATTTGTGATAGTCTCTGATAGTGACAGATCTATAACGTTTCACTGCCTACTATTTCGATATGATTTAATCAACGCGCATCTAGCGTTTAAGTCACTTATCAAGGACTTAACGACTACATACTTCAAAGATGAATTTTGTAGAAACTGCTGTCACATAAGCGAAGAAACTGCGACCTGAAGAAGTATTATTATTTAAAAACTGGTAATAGTAACCAACCATTAAATCGATTTCCATCTTTATTCCTGTATGCTGTTTTACCAAATCCTAAAATTATTACATATATAAAAATTTACCACATACTTATTGTTTCAGAGCAATTTCAACGACGTTAACTTCAAACTTTCGGCTTTAGAAGCAACCAGCATATCAAGAACTGTCTCTTTTGCCAATATTAGCTCAAACCATAATACTGATCTATCCAACATATTTAAGAATGATAGTCACACAGCAGTGTTTCCATTAGTTCACAAGTATCTTTGTTATGGTTGCAGTAGGATTCACTCAGAAATGAAACGATCTACCTTACCACCGCATTTACAAATTTTGTAATTAACCTACATACTATCCATAAGCTAAATAAAATAAATAATGCTATGTACTGTGTATACTTTTATTATACTGATGGTCGTATATACATTGACGTGTCTAATGTTTATTTTCATAATTTCGCAATCTATCTACACATAGAAATAAATATGAAAATACAAAGAATTGTTATAAATCCTTCGCCTGAATCAGGGCGTGTCAAATTGTCTGTATGAAATAATATGTAGTACACCGCCATCTATGCGATTCTACTGTGAAACCAACAACTTCTAACAATTAACAGACCTAAAATTTCGTAACGTCCCAAAATTGCTTGATATTTTTTAACTATACTATAAAGCCGACGCAAAATCGTAATATTTTCAACGAATGTATTAAGGCATCGTACAAAAAAATACCGCTTTTAAATATGTAATGAATTAATATTTAAATAATTTTAAATTGGTAATATATTAATTTCGTACGATATTGTTTTAACCTCTGCTATTTAGATTTCAATATAAAAAGTACAAATTTCTTGTAAATTACCAAACTGTGGACGAGTACAAAAACGATGATATAGAACTAAAACTACGACCTAGGTCAAGGTAAGCTTAAGGGTAACTATTAACAGAAAACGATAATGCTATGTTTTTATGACAATTGTAATGTTTGTAACACCAGGTTTCCGGGTTTTAAAAGAGAGAGATATATATATGAGAAGCTTAAATGAATTTATATGTCACTAATTTAATATATTTTGTTGTTCTTCATATAACATGATTTTGGTTTAAGCATAAAAACAGCAGTGTTTACAATGAAGATTCTTCCACTAACTGTTAATTGAAACTAGGTGGTAATTTTAGTACTTTTCCATTTAAGTATAAATAATGCAAAACATTTTCAGGCAAAGTTAGTATTGTTTATTTAAATTTTTTTATGCAACAACTTGAAGTTATCACACTAAATATAAATTATACTCCACCAGGCTCACCTTCCAATTGAAGATATGATTTGATTTTAGCTATGATCATATGCACGAGAACAGCTAACATAACTTATTAAAATATACTAATAGAAAACAATGTTTAGATCTGACAATATCTAATTATGTTAGAATTAGCTGGTTTCTTTTATAAAATACGTAATAAAAGAAAACGATTAATTAATAATGTTAAAATTTTGTATTTATATCACACATATCTACATTTTACTTCTATTACATAAATACAAAATTTTAATAGGTAGAGTACCAACGAAAAGCTGCTAACCAGTATTTGCAAATGGTATGCAGGTGTTACCATATATTATACAAGTAATTACAAAATACCATAGGTTAATAAATGCAAAAGATCAAGTGCAATGAAAATCGATGCATTTTTATCTCATTAATGAACTATCGAATTTCATATAAAAAATGAATGTTTCAGAATTTACTTTGATAATTTGAATCCTTCCTCTTCCACCATGAAATACCTACTCAGCTTGAGTACACGAGCACTTCCACAAATGTATGTCAGCAGTTTATACCAGAGATAAAACACTTTTAAAACAATTAATAAACCAGATTTACTAATTATTAAACACTAAATTATATTGTCTTTCCAAATTATTCCATTTCAAGCATTGGAATTGGATGCATATTCAATGAACAGAATTGATGTATCTTTCACTGTCCCTGTGTATGTATTTACACCATCAGTGGCCTCTTTTTGGTGTTATTTTACAGCGTCTCCTCCGGAATCTTGTACAAATATATCATATTAATACATAAAGAGCAATTTCTTCTCTTTAAACAATTATTCTGGAGTATTTATTGGTCCTTGCAATGCATTTGGAGTTGGAGAACTGGATGAAACCATTCGCCCCTGCTCCTTTACAATTGGATCTGAAAGTTTTAATGAAGCTTACATTATCTAAATGGTTGTAAGCAAAAGGATAGCATCTCAACCAAAGTGATAGCACAGCCGCACAGAAAACCTAGATTAAGCAATTTTTGATTGCTTAATCCCAGTTTAAGCTGGTTCTGGGCAGGGAAGGGCTTAAGGATGGTAATGCACTTTTGACACTTAGATTCATTTGACCCGTCTGCTCGTCACAAAGTTCATCCACAAAAGGTTACAGAGTTGTTATTTATCCATATTATAATACTATGGCCTAGGCTAAATTATTTTGTGTCAGTCATGTCAGTGTAATATTTTGGGGAGTAATCCCTAAAATATTTCAAGTAAAAAGTCTATGTATTAAATGTTGCTGAATTCAAATTAAAAAACTATGACACAACAATTGACTTTGTTTACCTTTATATAAAAATAGCATAAGTAATTTTAACTGAGCTGTGTTTCTAATATAGAATATGTAGCAAAGCAAAGCAGGACCCATGATTATTATGTAAATTTTAAACATCAAACTTTAGTAATATTTTCTGTGAAAATATTACTAAAGTTTGATGACTATTCATATAACCTAAACTCGAATTGTTAATGATAATGAATGCTTGTAGTGAATATAAAAAAATAATGTCATTTGTGCAACTGCTATAAGATTAAAAGTAATGCTGATTCTAAACAAAATTTTCATTTCTCTATGATAAAATGAAAAAAATCTTTTTGTGACCTCGATGGAATGCTTAGGAGAAAGATTAGAAAATTAATATATAATAACTTACAAAAGTATGGGTGATCCATTGCTTCACGAGCAGTATATCTCTCATAGTGATCATAACGTAACAGACGATCTAGGAAATCTAATGCTTCAGGTGATACCAAATGTTGATTTTCTGAATGCACAAACCGCTCCCACCGTTTGCGAGAATGCCTTTGGAATTATTTATAATGATTACATTATTATTTATATAAATAAATTAAATGATTACCTATAAAACAGAATTTAAAACATACCTCCCAAGAATATCATTAAATCGGGGATCCAATTCTATATGATATTTATCCAAATATTCGAATAGCTCCTCAGTGCCCAGCACTTTAGCAATACGGACAAGTTGATCATAATTGTCATGACCATGGAAAAATGGCTCCTTACGGAAGATCATGGAGGCTAACATACATCCTAGCGACCACATATCCAATGAATAATCATACATTTGATAATCCACCAAGAGCTCTGGACCCTGCAACATGAAATACATGTTTAATTCATTGTTATAGATGAAGTTTTGAGTACGTACATAATTCATGACAGACATGATGACATTTTCATTATTCTTTTTTAACATTAAAAAACCTAAAATCTTTTTTGCTGTAGGGAGGGCTGAGGGGGGTTTAACATGAATTATTTGTCAATTTATTTTGGGTACAACAAATTAATGGGGCAGCCTATTGCAATATATTAAAGGGAATACACTCCAGGACTGCTAAAAAAAATATATGTATGACATACTTATAATAATGATAGCCACCAATAAACAGAACTCAGTGTTAGACATAGCATTCATTTATACTCTCATAATTGTATCTAAAAACAATACTATGAAGTATAGCATTGTTTTTTTCTGGATGAATTAAATATATTTTAACCATTTTAAATGTTACTTCATCAGTATTACCTTAAAATATCTAGAAGCAACACGAACATTATAATCTTGTCCTGGGTGGTAGAACTCTGCTAACCCCCAGTCAATCAGACGTAACTTTCTGTGATCATGGTCAATCATCACATTGTGAGGTTTCACATCCCTATGCATAATGCCCATACTGTGGCAGTAATCTAATGCCTTCAACAGCTCATACAAATAATATCTGAAAACATACATTAAATAATCACATATATATAGATTTTGATCATTTAAGTAAGCTTAATGTTTGTGTAATTTAAAGTAAAAATTACCTTATATCATAATCTGACAAAGTCTGGTACAGTTGTTTAAAATCAGTATTGTTCACATGTTCAAAAATGAGCGCTGGAGTACGAGAAACAGGGTCTTTGACTACAGCTTGTAATGTAATTATATTTGTGCCTCCTCTTAAGTTTTCTAATATTTTTATTTCTCTTTTAATCTTCTTCTTTTTAACAGGCTGAAAAATGAGAAATGCTAATATAAACACCCCATCACCACATCATACACAGTATCACCATCACCTTCAGTACATGTGCCTATGTAAACAAAGTGGTTTACAATATCATCATTATTATCAAGATATTTAGAAATTATGCAAGCAATATATCTCACCTTCAATATTTTAACTACACACTTTTCGTTATTTGTGATATTTATTGCCTCAAATACTTCACTGTACTTTCCACGCCCAAGCTTACGCACTAACTGGTAGTCTTCTTGGTTACCCCAGTCCACGACGTAACTTTCATAGTCCCAGTATTCTCGAGGACGTTGTGAGTTGACATCGGCATATACCCGCGCTCTACTCGGCACTGCCATCGTTCTAAGACTCCGCCAATTTAGACTTTGATTAGCGATAGTCTTTCCGGAAATCGCGTATGTCTTGAGTAACGTTACTGTGAATAAAGTAAATAAACGTCACTTTTATACGTAAAAGATCTTCACTAAACAATTGCAATATGTTCATGCATTGTGATTCGATCAGTCGAATCGAATCATAGGCGGTTATGATTACAAGTCACTATTCAATTATAGTATTGTGAAGTATAACCTAAAAACGACATCCGGTCAAGATTACTGTTACAAATAACATAATTACAATTGTATATTCCACAATTACTAATAATTGTACACGGTTATACACTACATGCATTTGTGTTACTTTTCATAGGATCTGACGACACGAAATAAAATATGAAAGTGTCTTCCGAGAGAAAAACGCACGCCATTACTCGTCAAACGATTATGTTTTAGCAGACGTTCATACCTAAAACATAACTGTAGTTAATCCTCTTTTAAATAATAAATAGTTTCAGCATACATAAAACTTCTTGAAAACTAACGATTAATATGAACTCCAAGCTACAAAATACACTTTTATTAGAACTAAACCGGCTCAAACCCAGCAAAATTTCAAGATGGACGCCCACCTATTCACTACTTTACTAAATTACTACCTTCAGTACTACCAGCATAAATTATTTGTATCAGTGCTGCCATACACATTTTTTTCTATAAGTAAGAAGAGAGGGGCCGTTTAATGTCAGTTCAGAAACTATAAAATATTTGATCAAGTTGTTAATGTTGTTTGATCCACGTGGAGTGTCGAGTTAAGGAGAACCAGCTTTAGGTATGAAAAGTGTCCATCAAAATGCGTTAAGGGGTGGAGCTACAGTTGGAGCAGGGTAAATTATAAAGAAAATTATTTTGATTTTTGGGGTATGATAGACAAATAAACACGGAATTAAAAGCATTGTGTAATATTTTTAGTGGCTTTAAAAACTGTGTTATATTTTTATTAGCTTAAAAAAATGATAATGTGAACTAGACTGCGAAAGCTGTCATAAGACGTACTTTACAAAGATTAAACTTGCAATAACTATTTGTAGATAATAAAAGTACAGTAGAGTAAAATTCAAAGTTTACTCTGTCTACAACTGCTATATTCATGTAGTAATTCATTACCTTTGCCGACACTAGTGCCATCTTGGTCGCTTTTAAAAATATATTTTCTAATTTTTGCTGGACACTTTTGTCACGTCCTTACGTCCATATGAAGTAGTGCTCCTTACCTCCACATTTTGGAGTGTAGAGGTAAGGAGAACTATCTTTGTCTATGAAAAGTGTCTATCATAATGGGTAAAATTAGGGTGACGCTAAAGTATCATCAGGGTATTTTTTTAAAGAAAGTTGATGGAGTAGGATAGAGAAATACACATTGTAGGTAAGAAGAACATTGTGTGAAATTTTTATAGGCTAAAATAATTATTTTTTATTTTAGCCTATAAATTTTAATTTTACACGATGTTTTCATTTCAATGTTTATTTCTCTATTCTACTCTGACAACTTTGGGCGATTTCTTTAAAAAAATATCTTGATGCTACTGTAGCGCCCTCAATTTAACGCATTTTGACGGACACTTTTTATACACAGAGTCGGTTCTCCTTACCTGTAGCCTCCATAGATAATAAATAAACTTCTATTAACCGTGTTAATTAAGGCAATAAAAGTACTTAACTCACTTGGTCTGTCTGTGTCGGTCGGTCTGGTCTAACTACTATATTCGTGTCAATAACTTTGCTAAAGTAGTGTCATTCTGGTCGGATTTAGAACTTTTATTAGCTAGACACTTTTTCGGTTTGGCGTCCTTACAAGTTAAGTTTGAAGGTAGTGCTTCTTATCTCTACCACACTCCTTAAATTATTCACTTTTAGTGGCGCTACTATCGACGAGTTTATGGAATACACCATGGTGGTCGACAATTACTTTGTTTTAAAAGCGAACAATAATATAATGTTCACATCAAAGAAAAAAATCAGTGACATGTTGTTAAGACAACTTACGAGGGCAATATGTTGTTCTTGGTTTGTTAAAAAAAAAAAACTTAACCTGTTAACACCATACTTAATGACATTATGAAAACCGTAGAATTTATGAAATGTTATAGGCCGTTTAGACAAGCGTGTAAGCGGGGTGTTCATTTGGCTCGGCTTGCGTGAGCTTGTTGTTGATTGGGACTAGTGTGTACTTGTTCTCCACTACTCAATTTACTATGCAAAGTTGTTTACATTGTCATAGCATAAGTGTAAACGGGGTGTTCATTTGGTTCGACTTGCGTGAACTTGTCGTTGATCGGGCTAGTGTGTGCTTGTTCTCCACTGCTCAATTTACTATGCAAAGTTGTTTACATTGTCATAGCATAAGTGTAATAAATACTAGTAACAGCGTGCCGGGATTAAGCCGCCCTATAATTTCCCGAACGAAAAACTATCGCCCGTTTTTTTTTTTTTTTAAAGACAACTCCCGCATTAGGAATAAATCCTGTGTCGCGGGGGACTTTACAAACATGCACGAAACGGACACAGAGAACACCCAGACTTAGAACAACAATTTGTGGATCACACAAAGTGTCGTCCCATGTGGGGCTTGAACCCACAACACTCGAAGTAGTAGGAAGCGGCGTGGCGACCATTTAAACCACTGCGCCATCTGTGCAGTCGAGTAGTTATACATAAGTACCTACGTGAAATAAAGCGAAGCTTATATACGTTTGCATTTATTTTCGTACACCGATCAATACCTGTTATTTTATGACATAATTAATTACATGTTATTTTATCATATAATCTTAATTATATCTATAAATGTTTACCAGTTTTACAAAATATATCAAATGCTATTCAATGCCTGCATTTATACGGCAAGAAAATCCTTTGCACGCATTTCAGAATCACGCAGGTAAGTGAAATTTGGAATAATTAAAGTTAATGTACCAAATTGGACCAACATCTTAAGAGACAGATGCCAATGGTAGTGTGTAAATTACATGTTAGGAAATGTAAATTTAGCAGGTTTAAGGTAAATTATAGCAGGTTGTGAAGGCCGCCCAGACAACTATAGATAGTTAGGGTCGCCTTAAATCAGAATCTTTACTTGATTTAGAAAATATGGAAGACGTCGACATCATTTAGATTATAATCATGATCTTGAACAGCCTACGTAGCCTACTTGACTTGACTTTAGTTGTACAATTTTGTTTCTAAAACTGTGGGCAGTGCCGGTTTAAGACAGCGCTATTAAGAGGCCCTTGGATTGATTTAGCTAATCTAGTTAATGGCCCTGATCCTTGACGGGAAATGGCTCTTCGACGAGCACTTCCGACAGCTTACTCCAAAACTGATCAGCGCTGCGACTGCCCTTGAGCGACTTTTGCCCAATTTGGGTTTTCCGATCAATCACTGTACAGGGTACCGGTGTGGACGGCGTCTCTGACCGCCCAGAATAGGGCGCGCCTCTGGCGTCCTCAGAGGGTATTCGCAGTTAGAGCCATACGTGGTTACCGCACCGTGTCGACGCCCGGCCGTAAGTCTCTTTTGTCAGATTTGGAGGCGGAAGTGCTCGCCGAAGTATATCGGCGGACGGCTGAGTTCCGAGCGGGTAGCAGCTGTCAGCCCCCACCCGAAGAGGTACGGGAGCGGCGTGAAGTCTCTTGCCGAGCAACGATGGCTCATTGGTCGTCCCGGTTGATAGTCATCGTCGAGTGGGCAGAGCGGCAGCACGGGATTCTTTCCTTCCGACTGACGATGATCCTTTCCGAGCACGGCTGATTCTGCAGTCGATCGCTAGGATCGAATTAAGTCCCGCCTATCATCACTCACATCACAAAGTTTAAATTATAGTCAAAATTTAGGTGCAGCTCTTTCGTGAAGGAATTGTGACTATATTGATTTGACAAAATATTTTCACACTTCGATCGAAATAAGTACTTAAGATAGAGATAAGATACTTTTTTACGGTCAGAAAGCGTTGGTGCGCAGGTCCTCGAAATGCTCAGGGCCTTGTAGCATTTGCTACTCTAGCTACGTAGCTAATCCGCGACTGACTGTGAGATATTAATAGGAAATATCGATTCTTGATTTAATAACGTAAAATATCAGGAGCTGAAGGTGGTTCAATAGAAAAGTATTTGTATTTAAAAATTTGAATATATTATTAAGAAATTAACATTGTAGTTATTAATGGGTCATAGAAAAAATGTACATTTGGCACTTTTTTTTGTCCCACTACTTTAATAGCAGATTTAAATTTTGAATATTATGGCACATATTTTTAATCATGTTTACATCTATGTTTAGTCTTTAATAGGATCATTTTTTTATAAATAATATAATATTTTCGTCAAATCATAGTATAAATAGCATTGGGATTTTTTTAATAAAATATCTTCCATACAATTTTTTAATGTCCCAATAACGATTTTTCTTAATAAAAGAGTAATTGTTACGACTATTAGTCGACTTACATAAGATAGACTGTAGTCATTTAGGTCTCTTTTTGTCCATCATTTAAATAGTAATACGATTTATTATTTAGAACGTTTAATAAAATTATTAAAATTCATATTAATGTTGTCCCAGAATTATTAAATTTTGTTACTCAGTGTAGTTACGTGCGTATAATTCTGAACGCAGTTGTTCAAAATTGACGGGAAATAATTATCCTAATATTGACAACATTGCTGCTTTTTATAATTCACCTACATACAGAGGTCATTTTGTTTTCATCCGCACACGGGAGTCATTGTGTTGGATTCGCATTTGGAAAAAAATACTGTCAGGGTGATAAACGATTTGAATTTCGATAAGCAGATACGATTGATTGTACTATTTTATGCTCACGGTTTAGTTATAATAGTATATAGACAAAAAAATTCAGTTATTGTGTATACAATAAGTGGTACTAACAGAATTATTTTTCGGGGTTATAATTTCTCAGAGTTTGTCTTCAGTTTAGTTATATTGCGTTATGTTACGAAACTGACAAATTGTAAAGCTGAGTTTACGAAGTTACTCTAATTTGAAAAAATAATTATTATCTATTAAAATTTTATTACATTAATTTAGGGAAACAGAAGTGTAATCGTGGTGCAATGAAAATGACGGGCTTGATTCCCGAACGTAACAATATATTTCTGTTGAACTAAAATAAATATGATTGACTTATTATTTTACTATTTGTGTGGGTACTTGTGCAGAGTAGTCAAGTATTTAGGATAGTTTTTATTTAATTATAATTCTATATTTATTTATATTTTCATTTAATTATATTCAATAATATTATTAATTTATTTTATTAAGTTGATTCTTCAGTTACCAAAATATTTAAATAATGGAGCAGTACGTAACGTTGATATCTTTTTGTTACAAATTTGTTTGTTATGGAGATTTGAGACTAATTTTCATTATGAAAGATTATATTATTTTTAAGAAATATTGTTATTACTATCTTGCTTATTTTTTTTCAATTTGGCCTTAACGGTTCTTGACAACTTGTTTTCTTTCGTTGCTCGAAATATGGAAGGGCCCGATTAAATTTTGACAATATTACTCCGATTATTTAATTGATTTTTTAGAAATGTGTATGATTGTTCTTAGTTATTTTTATGTTTTGCTTTAATATAATAAAATAAAATATAATATGGAAAGCAAGTTTCTGTTATTGACAAATTTATTCTTGACTACAAATTTAACAACAGTTGCTAGGTAACATCATCATATTAAAGATAGACAATTTGTAACTGATGTATATAACCTTCTTAACATTCCGTCTCCTCTTCAAGCAACTGTTGGTTAAGTGGAGGCTCCAGCTAGCTTACATAGTTCTAGAAGCCTAGGCTTAAATAATGGCTTTGTCAAGAAGTCTGCCAGTTGATTCTTGGTATCAATCTTCTCAACTTTTATATCCTTTTCTAGGACACACTGCCTTACGAAAAAATGTTTAAGCCTTATATGCTTTGTTCGCTGGTGTGCTTCGTAAGGTGGATCATAAGCTAATCTTATAGCGGATTCATTATCTATAAAGAGTGGTGTAATCTCCTTCTGAGTATTACTCTGCATGAAGTTCATGATCCGTTTAAGCCATATAACTTCTCTGGCGGCCTCACTTGCTGCAATTATTTCAGCTTCTGTAGAAGATATTGCGACAGTAGTCTGACGTTTACTCTGCCATGCTATTGCACCATTGGCGTTGAGGCAAATCATGCCGCTGGTGGAGCGTCCAGTCGTCTCATCACCACCATG